ACATTTTAAGGGAAATAAGTTACCCATATATATTATACCCAGTGTGTGAAAAAAGCTGCAAAACGTCGCTCAATCAAGTATTTTATAGTTCGATACGCTAGTTCTCAATGAGTTGAAAATCCCACGATCTCCACGTTCACGAACCAGTAATATCAGAACGGATTGCAATTACACGTTAGGCGAATAATAGTTCACTTTAAAAGGCATCAAATGCGCTTTATGCTTAAAAAATATCTGCTGCTTTTCCTTGTATTTAGACATATTAGCAGGGGTTATTTGCAATCGTTTTACAATTGTTTTGAAATCGATATGAATGGTATTTATAATGTTGGGTTGTCATGCTACAATTATTCATTAACGTAGAAACTGCCAATATGGGCGAGTTTAGTTTCATATAAAATGCTAGATTTTGAAAGTTTTGATGACTCTGAGTGTTACCAACAAATTTCGAAGGACCTGAAACATTATTCTTGTAAATAAATGTCTTTATCACTCATGTATATATTTTATACTGCATGCTTTATATATTTATTTTATAATTGAATTAAATCATTAACACAGTATAATATGCAAAGCATTACTTTCGTGTCTGTCCGTGTTTGTGTTTTTTTAGAATAACAGATAAAAAAAGCAGCTATGATTGAATTACAAAAGATGAAATATGAATATAATCTTAAAATAAGGTTTCAATAATCCAGGAAAATCTTTGTTCTCCGTAACACCTAAGAAGCGTTGAAACGTGACATAAAATGACGACGATTACCTCATTAGCCTCTCCATTTTCTCCAGTGCATTCCCAACACTATTGTTATAAGTCTTAAGGCTATGTCTGCTAAAAGCTTGTAATACCATGTCTCTATTGGGTTCCACTTTGATATGCGCATTCTATAAAGTACGGAGAGGCTTTTGGTTAGCAGAGAAATAATTACTGAGGGAGAAAGCAAGACTAATGGAACTGCCTGACGAAATGTCGTCTAGGTAGCTACAATCATTGGCAAAAGTACTTGGAGCACCTAGCAATTTGCGTTATGTTTTCATATTTTTCAATTCCTTTCCAAAATACTCTTATTTCCACACCCAAAAACAATGTTGATAATTTAGAAAAAAAATATAACAGAAGTCGCAGAAAAAGCGTTCTTCCTAATCCATTACGTTGTTTTGTAGTAAACCAACATCGTTCAAAGGGGGAAGAGAATGGTTGAATTTTCCCTTGAAACTGACGTTAGTGTGCCAAGACTTTTGGCAAGCATTGTAGGTAAAGGGTAAGGCCTTCGGAGCAATTGTTGAGAGGGGAAAAGTTAGACTGCTTTAATTAATGAAAACTTTCAATTCAATCAAACTACAATTGCAAACCTCTCTATTACATAGGTAGTGTGCAACTGGCTAGCCTGAGTTTACAAGACAGGACTATAACAATCATTTGAGTAAACTAAAGTTTTTCGTCTGACACTCTTCAGAGTTTCAAACGTCAGAATATAGATCGAAAACTCCCTCTATAAAAAACAGCCTTGTTCCGTCTTCTGTGTTTTCCGTGATGAAGACACTCAAAATTTTGGGCGAAATGTTCTGGTTAAAGGTCGTTCAAACATTTGAGAATGTCTCAGAACATTTCATCTAAGAATGACCATTTGCAACGCGTCTATTGTGAACTTCAGCTATTTTACCCCAAAACTCTAGGGGTTCAACTACCTGAAGATGACGCAACTAGTTGAAGAGTGAGGCTAAAGATTGTACATTCTTAGTTCAATTATTGTCAAGAAAGTTTTACAGCAAATGTAGTAAACAGATTGTCGTAAATAACCTTTATAAAACAACACTGTACAAAACATGATGCAATAGCTGTTACCAAAAATGAGCGGCTATGACTAAAATAGAAATAAAAATAGGATCTCTTA